ATGTCATCAGTCACCCTGGTCAATTTTACAGCCACATTATAATCACATTTATGTCACATAACAGAATGTTCACTTTGCCTGGTTTTGTTGCAGTCTGCCCCATATGAGATTGGTCGCTATGACACCCCTATATGCAAACTGGATTGGAGAAGGTTCTTTGAAAACCTATGTAAGCACAGCAGTGACATTAGCATTGTCGCCAAATGGATGAATGGTGTGGGCGATCTGGTCAGAAAACATTACCAAAAATACACTGAAGCACTCTTTGACCTTGATTCCCGTCAGATGCTATGTGTTATAGCTCCTGAACTCCTGGGTAGCGAGTTCAAAGATACTCCTAAGACTTTAGTGCTCAGCTCAACATACACTTGGGAGATGCTTGAAAAATATGGGGCAATCAGCTTATATGGCCCACATCGATCCTGTGTTGAGATGCCATACATGCTGCTACAGGTCTACCTTCATGAGTTTGTCCAAACCAACAATTCGATTATAAAGTTCATCCACTCTCTGAATGAGCTCACTGGTGAGTCACACTTCCGCCAAAATGAAAAATGCGACATTGCAGTCATTGTACTTCAGCTCTTTCAGTGGCATTTCAATAACCCAAACTATACCTGCCTTCGTCTTAAAGACTTATTTCTGACACTTGAAGGCATAGCAGCTCACACCTATGTGAATTTACCTGATGCAATACAAAATGTTGGTCACCTTGATCATTGGCCAAAGATATTGGCCCGCCATTTTGATCCACAGAAAGATCTTGAGGAAGGTGCATACATAGGTGCAGGCAATGATGAATTTGCTGATTCGTGGGTTGTGTTCAGACGTGAGGACAAGAAGGGAGTCATTGTTCTTGCCATTGAGAGTAAACACCATGCGACTACAGAGAGGCTTACTGCTGAATACTTTAATGTGCATAAGAAAAAGGTACATGGCTTTGACCCTCATATGCTCTGTGCAAGTACTTTACTCATTACAATTTGTTTTGTGAATTTAGGTTAAGAAGAAGTTGCCAAAAGGAACATTGTGTTTGTAATGGTGGCAGATATGTGTGGTGAAAATGTCACTGCAGACAATGATGAAATGATCATCTGTAAAGAGAATATGGAAGAATTGTATGGAAATTGGCTTGCCCAATGCCGTCATTTCAGTCTTGTATTTGACAAGCGTACTAAGTGACTTTAAATCTAATCAAGATTTTGCATTAATATTAGAAGTAATTATTGTGTCATCATATCATTATCTGCTTGTCTCAGTGTTTTGTCACAGTACTAGTGCTAAATGGTTATGCCAAACGGATTTGTATGTTTGTGAAGTACTTATTCAATGTTGGTCCAAAATTGACAAGTTTGTCTTAGTTAATAGATCGCCCCCAAAATTCTGAATCTGGTATAAATTTATACATAAAACAATAAAATTTATATATATGAAAAATTATAATGGTTCAATTGAATATGAAAAAGCAATGCGTTTCTTGGAGATAGGTTGTAGTTGTGGTTGTTCAAAAATAATTCCGAGAGGAAAGTTTGC